GAACACATTTTTTACAGGATAGATAAGCACTACAGCCTCTTGCTTTGCTGTTTTCCTCACTTAAGCTTCAGTAGGGAAACTGTGCCCATGAGACATTTAAGGATGTGTTTAACATGATTAGCTGGAATTTTGACACCAATAATCTTAAAATCATGATGCCAGGGAAGTGCAGGGAAGTATTTTGGGATGGAGAGAAGCCTGTGCTTGAGAATTTTTATGAACTCAGGCTCTTAGAGGATACGAATTGATGTGGGCACAGTCTAAAACCTTTACAATTGAGTTCTTTTCCCTGTGTCATCCATAGATTAACCACTTAGGAAAATTACTAAAATGCTCATAAATCTTTATGCCATCCCACAGAGAGCTTCACTTCTCCCTCAGTCCTCAGCAATTTGCTGCAGTTTCCCCTTTAACTTTTCCTACCTTGATACACAGCCAAACCCATATTTTCTCTCATAAACTTCTAATAAATTCTGCTGCAAATATGATAAAAGCCAAAGATATTTATGAACACTGGAAGTCACTCTGTGTCCCAGAGCCTGACCCCAGCAGTTTGCATGGAAAATATTTATGTACTGGCATAGTTGTCACTGCCTATTTATTCTTTCCTTCTTTGATTTTTCTTGAGGGAACTTTGCATGGAGCATTCTGGATTCTTGTGTTTGTGATATCACTAACAACAAACTCTTGTCTGGTGGATATTATCAGTGTGTTCATGTCTCTCTTTCAAGGGACATTTATTTTCCAGGCACAATCCAGGTCATCATTTCAGAGTTTTAGCACCCAAGTTGTTGGGCTCCACTCTCACAAAGCTTTTTCCCACTGATGTGAGAAGAGCACTTGAAATAACATTATTAACCACCAATATTTGCTCAATCACAGCTTGTTTGTCATTAAGCTTGTGGTCTTCCCAGGCTGTGCAAATACTGCCAAGACACACTTAGCTCTTCAAAAAGCATTTAAGGAAAGACTGAATGTGCCTCTGTCACAACCATCTCCTCGTGTCCAGGTAGCTCACAAACCTCCTGGATCTGCCCTTAAACAGCTGCTTCCTGGTTCTTCATTTTAGGGAATAAATGCAACCCCTGGGAAATGCCCTGATAAAAATGATAGATACAAATAATAGAGGAAATTTCCTTTTTTTTTTTTTTTTTTTGGAGATTCTCTCTTAAAAATTTCAAATTTCTCAAGTGGGGGATTTTTTTTTGTAAGTTATGGCATGATAGTTAATATTTTAATGGACTTTATGGGGCCTCAACTTTCCTGCCTTTACAAGTGCATGGGAACTACAATTAACTGAAATGTCTTTGCCTACAGATGTAAAGGAATGTGGGCAATGAAAGTGGGAAGAAAAAATACTTTGATCTTGATTCTGTATCAGTGAAATCTTGTGAACATGGTCTTGAAAGACAGAAAACGTAGGGAAAGGATGTCCAGTGAAAAAAGATCTGGAAATGATGACCTAAAATCATCAGTCACAAGAGTAGAGCATGGAAAGGATCTTTAAAGTCTCCTTAAGGATCAGCCCTGTGAAAACTGCTAAAATTGTCCCAGTCAGGAATGTGTTTCCCTGCTCCAAAGCAGTGTTTCTGTTTCAGATGTTGTTTTCCAGTGGCTCCCTGGAACATTCCAGCATTCCCATCTGCTGCTTGTCAAAATTGGCTGCACTCTGTGCATGGCAAGAGACTCCTCAGGCTCCACTGACGGTGTTAATTCACATTCAGGGCAGTTTTCACTCTCAAATACTTCAAAGGAGATTACTCCTAGGACTGGGTGAGCCAGCACAGGTATTAAATTGGAACTAAGTCTAATTACCTGTGTTGTAACAACTTTGTAATAATGAGCATATTTTTGCATTTCAATGATATTTATTTAATAGTTAATAATATTTATTTCATTGGTCTCTTTTAGGCTTTCATAAATATCAATATATTCCTTAAATTATTTCCCTGTTCTGATCTTCTGTACACCTTTGAATTTCACCTCTTATACTGGCTTGCAAGCCCATAAAACCACAGCAATAAACTCCAGCATATGAAGCTCAGTGTTCAATTTTCCCCTCTTCCTTTCATTTAAAAAAAAAAAATCAATTGCTATCCACATTTATCTAATGAAAGAGAGCACCACAGGGCACAGAATCCAGTTCTGGTCCTGCTTGTTAGAGATCACAACCTGAAGCCATCTGTCTGATTAAAATACATTTTCCCTGTTCTTTCTTGTCACCATTTGCTTGTGACTCAGAGTATGGTTCAGGGTTTGCAACAGACAATGATTAAAGATGGGTGAGCCCCAAAAGATAAAACAAGAACAGGCCTGAACTCTTACCTGAATCTCATCTCCTATGGCTTTTTTTTTTTTTTTAAGGCAGGTAAGTGGGTGGAGAATTTTTGGAGGAAAAAAAAATAGTTTAAATTTTGATTCAGCAACTGCTGGCAGAAAAGCCAAATGGTATTAGCAAATGCTCCCAAAATAAAGCCCACAGGTTGCTCTCCATGGTTTCACTCCAAGTATTTTGTGTAGATTCTTCTGTGTGGACAATGAAATTAAGTGTTTTGCAATTGTTTGTTTTGCAATTGTTTGTGAAAGAACTACAGGATGAGGAACTGTCTTTTCCTGAGTCCCATTCTGCTTTTACTGGAAAAATTGTGTTACATCTCACGTGCAGGTTTTGGTCTCGAGTACACATTTAATTGAATTATAAATCATCCCTAAATCACAGAATCCTCTGAGTTGGAAGGGACCCACAAGGATCATCGAGTCCAGCTCTTCAGTGAATGGCCCCTGTGGGATCAAACCATCCCAGGGGTGTTCCACAGCACTCTACAACTGGGGCAGAGGTGACACGGGCTGGTTCCAGGACCAGCTGCAGAATATTCTGAGAATTACACACAAAAATTTGAAGACTTACTCATGAGTCCATTCAATAATCCCATTACACGTGAGAGTGGTGGATACGTCGGGAACAAGATGTGCTTGTTATAAATCAGCAATCCAAGAGGGTCCAAAGCCTTTACCAGGAATTAGGAAACATTTCTGACCCTCTCTCCACCACAGGTTCATTTCTTCTCTCAGGGCATGAATGTTATGAAACACAGCATGGCAAAAAATTAACAGAGAAATTGGAAATGAGCGTTCATATTCGGAAATAAGTGAAATTTGTGCCGTGTGCTGAGGGAGGGAGCTCGGTGTGAGCTCAGAGATACTGCTGGACATAAGAGAAAGCACACATGGGGTCAGTGTTATAAATGAAAGCCACAGCAAAGAAAATTTAAGGAGTTCAGTGGGCAAAAGAGCTCTACATTTTACGGTCTCCAAAAATAGCCGTTCTGAAAGAGTGACTCAGAATTTCAGGGCCAGGAATTCCTCCATCCTTTTCTAAACGTGTAGGATGGGCCGAACCTTCCTGGGAGTGCTGGGCTTGTGAAGCAGCAAAAAGGAAAAAATCCTGAACCACGGCATCAGAGAATGTCCTGAGTTGGAAGGGACACACAAGGATCATCAAATCCAACTCCTGGACACCCCAACAATCCCAGGAGTGCTGTCCAAACCCTCCTGGAGCTCTGGCAGCCTTGAGGCTGTGCCCACTGCCCTGGGGAGCCTGGGCAGTGCCAACCACCCTCTGGGGGAAGAACCTTTTGCTGAGATCCAACCTGAGCCTGCCCTGGCACAGTTTTGTGCCATCCCCTCATGAAGTGCTGTGTGAGCCCCTGGAGCCTTGGAAAGGCCAGCTGGGAGGAGATTCCTTCAGAATGAATGATCCAAAAGGCCCAGGCAATTAGATTTTATCCTTATGAGCATCTTTGCTCCTGAGTAGGATCCCAGGAGTTGGGATGTGTTGGGTTGTGTTTTGAGAGTTCTCAGAGACGTTTTGGGAAAACCTTGCTTTCTAAATCATCCAACACCTGAGCAATTCCATCCTTTGTCTAGAAGACAGACCTGAAAGTTAAAGATTCATCTTCCTCTCTCCCCCTGTGCCACCCACCCCATAACTAAAAAAACTCCGAGGGACCCCAGCAGTGGGGGGTAGGCAAGGGAGAGGCAGGTTTTTAGTGTCAGGTAGGAGGGAAACCGGTGTTAATGAGGATCCTTTGACTGTGATCTTTTCTTTTTGCCACCAGCCTGAGGTTCAAGGGTAGTCAGAGACAACAAAGAGCCCTGCCAAGGTCCCAGCTGAGCTCTCTGTGTGTCACTGACAGCTCTGGGATGGGAAGCAGGGAAACCAGGAGCCTCACAAAAGTGTTGGGTTATCTTTACACACGGACAGCCAAGTAATCTCTTTTTTTATCAGATCTGAGAAGAAAGGGAATCCCTCCTGTGTGTTCCCTACAGGCTTTTATCTCTCCTTTTCCTTTTTTTTTTTTTTTTTTTTCCCACAAAGACTCAGGCTACAACTCTGCTCACCAGACTTTTCTCTTGATTTCTGTACTCTTCTCCCTATGGAGGGAAAAAGGATGCAAAGGAGATCACAGGTTTGTAAAGATGGGGATATGCCAGACCCTGTGTTTGTGTAAATCTGAATTTTTCAGCTGATTCCAGTGGAGTGGGGTCAATTTACACTAACCTAACCAAAACCTGCACATGAAACGTAACACACTAATTTGTGTAGGAGTTACTAGAATTTAAACCCTGCCTGTGATTCCCCTGGTTTGATGTAAATTCGCTACTATTTCACAACGCTAAAATAATGGGGATGAGGGGGATTAAAACTCCTGCTAACGTGCTCTGCTGATGCCGTCAGGAAAATATTCTGCTTTCTGAGTCATTCGCCCTGGGCTGACTTTCTCTTTGAATGGTTCAGGGGTTTCCTTCTTTAGCCATAAATTGCATGCAAATTCCTTTTCTCTGCGTGTGTGTGTGCCGTGTATGACAGCGTGTGTCTGGGAGGGTGCGTGTGCCTCTTTCAGAAGCAAAGCCAAAGCGAGGGGCTGTTCCTTTAAAGCAACACCGAAAGGAAAAAAAAAAAATGCCTTCAGGCGTCCTATTACAGTGGAAGGAGCCAAGGATCAGGATTTGCAGCTCAGCTATATAAACCCGGCAGGATCGGGCTGATGTGACCAGTTCGCTTTGCTGTCAAAGCTCTCCGTAAGCACCCGGCATCAGGCAGCGCAACTTCGCCGAGTTCTGACAGGACGGCAACAAAGTCGGGAGCCGGGAGCTGATTGAACATCTTATTTATTTCATGGAGACTGCTCCCAGCGGGATCTAAGCTCCGGCAGAGGCTGGAAGGTAAGGCTGCTTCCTTCCTGAATAATAAAAAATCAGGAGGTCTTCTCCCCCAGTGACCCAGTGTTCTGTCATGACCCTCATCAGGCTGAACCGTCAGGGATCCTCTCAGGGAATGCTTTGGAATGGGAACACGCCTGGCTTTGAGTTTGTCTTTATTATCCGGTGTAACAATGTCAGAAATGTCCCAGTCTGACCCAATGAATGAATGGAGCAGGAGTTAGATCAGTGCTGGACACCCACAGAAATACAGAGGGAAACCTAATTGACAGGAAGGGTAGGAAAGCAGATTTGGGGTTTCCTCTTGGCTGCTGGAGTGATAGAAATATTTCCCCCATCCTCGCTTCATGAACCAGACGAAACCCACGTGCAGGTCCTCACTCTCCCAGGTAACTCTTCCTGCTGAGCTCTTTGTGACCGGATGAGAGTCGGGCCCTTTTCTGTGTTAATTTACTCTCTGCACACTCCTTTTCACCGAAGCCTTTGTCACCTTCCTCCCCAACCCCTCGGGGCTCCAGTTGCTTTTAAAACTCCGGTAACATCAGCCTGGAGTGGGGAGCAAAAGACAAAGGAAGGTTCAACTGGTATCTTATTGCCGGTACTTTACCGGGAGGGTTCTGGGAGCAGGGGGGTGAATTGCCCATCATCGTGGAAAAACAGACACTTATTTTATGTCTTGGCTACTTGCTCCCCGGTGCTCTGAGATTTTCTGCATGACTGTGTCTGCACTTACCACTCAGGCTCAAATTGGCTTAAAAAGGAGAAGCTGACTGGGAGAAGGTGAGCACAGACAGATTCATTTAGCAGCTAAGCCCACTTATTGAAGACTTCGTGTTACATCACCTTTGCAGAGTTTTCCCTGCCTGATTTCCTCTCCTGGCTACCAGGAGAGAGAGTTTTTGGCAGTTATTCTAAACTTCTGTAAAGTCTGTGTGATACAGTGGAGGAGAGTGATATGTTCACATTGAAATGATGGTGACGTGTCCTCTTGGCCAGTGGAGATGTTGTAAAATTAAAAAGCATCATAAAGATACTTAGCAAATTTTTCTTCATGAAAAATTATAAACCAATGAGGTGGATGTGATTCTATAGACTGGGTAAAAGCCATATTGTCCAGCTGTTGTGTTTGGTTTCCTCTCCCAGTTTATTTTTTTTAATCATATTGGGGATTCATTTTACACGCTTCCTGATGAATGTTATACTTGGGGTTTGTTTTATTGTGCTGGGGTTGTGCTTTTGCCTTTTAAAGACGTTTCTCTTGATTTGTGAGACTTGATTTGTGAAATCATAGAATCATAGAATGGTTTGGGTTGGAAGGGACCTTCGAGTTCCTCCAGCTCCAACCCCCTGCCATGGGCAGGGACACCACTAGACCTAGACCAGGTTGCACAGTTTAAGGGTGGGCTGTGGTCTGAGGATGAGCTGGGCAGTGGGGAGCAGTGACAGCCCTTGGAATCCTTGGAACTCTTGCAGAAATGTGCTGTGGTGTGTTTTGGGGTGTTCCTCACTGCTACAGGGAACTCAGGAGCAAATCCAAGCAAATGGACTTTGGTCTGATGACACCATTCAGCCAAAGGAGGAGAATTGGTCTGTGGGCAGTTCATCTTCTCTGGGAGTGACTTTGGAAAGTGGCTGGAAGAGTTCTCAGGGCGTTGCCAGTGCAGGTGCTTCACCTGTGCCCAGGTACCCAGGGAAGGATGTTCACCTGAGCAGGGCAGGGACAGGCAGAGTGAGAGGCACTGCCTGCCCCCCTCACTGACCTGTCACACTCACTATCCTCAAGCAGCAAAATTAGCATTATTTTCCCATATTTTTTCCTCATTAATTTTATCCTCTGGCTCCTTTCAGCCCAGAGAAAATTCTTTGCAAGTTCCAGCCCTTAATCCTCTAACTACAGTTACTCTATCAGCATTTCCAAAGCTGAGGGAAAGCCAAAGGATCTGCTGAGAAGCCCCCAGCCTGCAGATGAGAATTTCATGTCTCAGCTGGAGAGGAAGCAGAAATTCTGCTAAAGAAATCTCTTCCAGGTACATGGTGGTCACAGGGAGAGAGAACCAACCAGTCCTAATTCCCCTTGTTGAAATAGTGATGCCTAAAGATGCTAAAACTTACTGGGAATATCCCTAAGCACAACCTAAAATGTGCTCCACGGATTCTGAGCAACTTAGCTGGAGACTTTTTGTTAGTGGAAATCTATTCTCTTTTTTTATCATTATCATTTCTCCTCAGTGTTCACTTAAACTTAACTATCGTGTTGCTATAACAGCATTTCTAAAGGTCTTTGACATTCAGCTCAGGTGGCTTATTTTTCATATCACTTCTTTTTATAAAATATCTAAAAAAAGCCAAAGTCTATTCATGTATCAAGATGTTCTGACTTGCTATAAAGAGACTGTCAAAGTTTGTTCTTGAGTATTGTTTCGCATTTTGATAAGAAAATGAGATTAAATGGCAGAGTCTGTTCTTCTCGGGACTTTTTCATCCTTTTCAAGAGTGAAGCAGAACCAAAAAGCAAATGTGCAGTGAAACAGTGATGTTTAAAGCCAGAATTTTAACCCTTTCATCCCTGCTGGTAAAACCATTTGAAAAACTAGACCTTCTTGGGCAGTTCTGTGGTTATTTTCCTGGTACAACCCAAAGGTACCTCTGTCCATCCAGCTTTGTGTCCAGAGGTTTGAGTGGTGCTAAATGGCATTTAATGGTACTGGGTTGTATAAGGAGTATCTGATGTAAATGGTTGTCCTATAAGGGAGAAACAGCTCCCATTCTGTGGGATATTTCCATTAGGGAACCCTGGTGTCTGTGGTTGAATATTGAATTTGGAAATAAGCTGGAATGCAGGGAGGGTGGTGTCTGCTTCATTATCAGCCACACATTTACCTCTCCTAACTCTGGGACATGTATTGAAGCATGAGAAATTCAGATTGGTTGAAAAACAGATTAGTTTGAAGCCTGTGGGTTGATAGATTTGTCTTTGGACAGGTGCCATCACAGTCTGCTGAGCTGAGGGGCCATTGACAGTTTTAAGGTCCAGTGGCTCATAAAACTCGAGGCTTAGGAATGGCTGATTTACATCACTGCAAAGTTAGAAATCTCAGCTTTCCAGTAATAAAAAGGGATTTGTTTTGAACAGTGGCAGTTTGAGATATAGGGCTTTAAAACTGGGCTCTGATTTACCAACAGGCACTTTCTCAGACTTAATTTCTGGTGTGAGTTTAGCACACCCTTCTCAAAGACTGAGCTCTGGACCAAACCCCGTGGTTATAAACTACAGGAGTCTGAAACTACTGTGAAATGTAATAGCTCCCCTTAGTTGTTTTAAGGAATTTGCTGATGTAATATTGCAGAAGGATCATTGATGCTGAAGTAGGAAACTAAGGAAAACAGAAATCAGAGGGAATTGAGTAAGTATTTGATCCTCATCCAAGCTCAGAAATTGCAAAACTAGTGCAATTGCAGGACTAGTGAGCTCTGGACAGAAAACATCATAACTTGAGCTCAAGAGCTGAAAAATAAGGCACGTGCACAGATTACTTATGAATGTATAAGGTGCAATTTAATTAATTAAACTGCTTGATATCAAGGTGGACTTGCTGTCCATGGCTTTGGTTGGTTTGTGCAGGGGTTTATGAGATGTTGATGTAAATGTTACTTCAGCATTTTAGGGCTTTGTTCTATTAGAAGTTTAGACATAATAAGTGATGCTCCCTGCCACAGAGAGCTTACAATTCCTATTATGAGCTGTTCAAAACAAGTTCTTTGCACGGTGGAGAGAAAAAAGGAGGAAGAAGCAGGAGAATGAACAACCCCAAGAGACAATTTTGAGCCGTCGCGGTTTCCAAGTGTGAAACCAACCCCTCACTCAGTGCTCGCTGTCCACTCATGTGTTCAACCTCTGTCCAGTCTGAGCTGAAGTTAAGTACCTTCCACATGTGGGAAAAGTTAGAAACTGGGCATTCTTCCAGCTCCTGAAATCCTTCTGAAATCCTTCAATGGCTGATGTAACCGAGCGGCGTGGAACGGGCAGACGGGGAGGAGGAGTCAGGGAGGGATCCTGCCTGACAAGGGCTGGCTCTTGATCCTGCAGAAAGAGTTTGGGCGTTGAGAGAAGGAAGTTTGAATCACTTCATGTCTCTTTTGGACATTGAATGAATGATATGTGCGCCCTTATAACCAGACATGGCCCTGCTATAACATTTTCTGGATTTCTTTATGTATCGTTTCTCTCTCTCTCTTATATCCTCTCTATCCTCTTGCTGGCAAAACAGCAGCAAAAAATCCCCACCTTAGAGATATCTAGATGTAGAATTTAAAGAATACTAGTTAATATAAATACATGATTGTATTCCACAGCATGCCCCTCACAAACCAGTGTGAGATTTTGCTGCTCAGCTCGTGGAGTCAATGGGAATAACTCTCCACTTCTGATTTTTGTTTGGCTTCTGCATGAGCGACTCACCCAAGATAAATCCACCCTGAATTGATCTCGTTGCAAGGAATTTCTCCAGATTCACATCCTTAATTGTCTGTAGCTTCAATTAAACCAAGGTGGGATGTTGCCAAGTTTTCAGAACTTCCAACTGGAGCGTCCCAGGGCACGAATAGCCCGTGGCATTTTGTATTCTTTGGGCAGCAGGGGACAAGGTTGCCAAGTTTGCATTCAGTCATCCATCACATATTAGCCCACTGGAGGTCCATTCTTCCCTAGCAATGGGGGAGCTCTGCTTCCTACTTAGAAAGATTACTCACACAGAAAGCCCTTTCCCCCAAACCAGGCAAGAGAAAGGGACCTTTCTTCAATTCACAGAAACGCTCCCTTTCCAAACTCTCCACAAAAATGATATTGTTTCATGCTTAGAAAACATATTCTTTTTAGTAATTGAGTCGAAAGTGCAGGGTGGCAGGACAGAAATCTTTAATACAGATTTTCAAAACAATTCCTTGAATCGCAGGCACAACAAAGGTCTATTGTAGTGGGCTGGCTCTTCCCATGCCAGGCTGTG